CCGGGTCCATGGGACAGGAAGTGACATCATTCTATAGAGACAACATTCAGGGAAGAGACATTTCCACCTTTTATTAGACTTCATGTCATGATGATTACTGAACACAATGCCGGGGTACACAGGAGGGGGTGTATATATGTCGGGGTACACAGGAGGTGGGTGTATATATGTTGGGGTACACAGTAGGGGGGTTTATATACAACATCCATCATTCTATGCTGTACGGCTCTTATCTCCAATATTGGTCTATGTGTGTGATGTCTCAGACCTGAGTCCGGGGATACAGAGACTGGTGGGCGGAGCTCCTTCAGGTCCAAGAAGAGAGTCCGGGGTGTCCTCCTCCATCCACAGAGGAGAATTGGGATGAAGGATGGAGATGACGGGGTGGTCAGTGTCTTGTGTAGTAGGAATGTTCCGGCGTGCCGGGTCTCATCAGTGGGGGGAGGTTTGGGGGTGAAGATCCAACAATCACATTTGTATTTTGTAGTAATGAATACATGAAGGAGTAACAATACAATATAAAATGGAGGAATGGGAGGAAGGAGACATTCATGGGTCAGATCATTCCGGAATGACATTCAGTAGAATCTCTCATCGCTGAATCTGAAGAAAAGGAAAAAGCTGAATCATCAGTTTCATGAACAGGTCAATGTGATATCATTCCATTCTGGACATTGTCTTCATATCGGGATCCGAGTATTACCTGAAGACGAGGAGGCGGCTCCACAACCTCCAGATTATCAGATTCTTCTCCTTCTCCTTCTTCCTCTTCTTCTCCTTCTTCTTCTTCTTCTTCTTCCTCTTCCTCTTCCTCTCCTATACAGTATATACCTTCCAGCGTCCACCCCTTCATAATAGAATAAAATGAGTGTTAGCGGGGGAGGGGTTCCTGGGATGAGGGAAAGGGGGGGCTGGTACTGTGGTCTGGAAGAAATGACGGACATTTTTATACACACTAATGGGAAGTATTTTGATGTCTTCCTGGAAATGTGTGCGATGTGTAATGTACAAATCTGCAGCCGTACAATGTATGTCAGTGGTCTCCTATGCTGGGAGTAGATCTGACGTAGATTGTATGTCCATGGCGGGATGTGTGATCTCTTCATAACTGACCTCAGTATACAAATACACCCAACCATCCCCTCTGTCCTCATACTATAGGGGTGTGAAAAGTGTCCCACATTTATAGCCCCCACCACCTTGTGAATCACCCACCCAATACCGAGGACCCATCACCATGGCAGGGGCCCGCACACCCATGGCCACCCAACCATTGGGATAGCAGATTGTATGCCTGGTGTGCTGGGCTGGGATGTGTACAGGAGGAGAACCCTCATCTGATGTGTTATACTGACAGATTGGATAGACAGCGGGGGAGGGGGATGGTGGTAATGGAAGATTGGATAGACAGCGGGGGAGGGGAGATGATGGTAATGAAAAAACAGGAAAGAGAGGTGAGAAATTCCTCCAGTGACACATTGCAATGAATTATCCGTGTACGGGGTCTTAGAAGATGAAATGTGTGACACGCTAAATGCCACAAAAATCCCCCAAATCTGTGTCCTATTAATCCAGGAAATATTGTTGTGGAAATGTCACTAGGATGTGTTTTTAGTATATTGTAATATTTTCATCATGTCTCTCAGTGTCCAGATTTCTGGGCTAAGCCCGATTGGAGCGTGACCCAGATTAATCAGCACTGAGTGTAAACCATTGGAGGGGATATCTTCCTGTTAATGTGGAGACGCGGCCGCCGTGCGCAGAGGTCTCTGCTGGCGAATGGTCCATGTGCTATGCGCTGGGCTGTTGGCCGGGGGAGATTGATGTGCGTGGCGGAGCAGTATTTTCTTAGCGAATGTATGGACGCCGGCAAGGGCCCCTGCGCAATGTGCGGATTTATTGGCTTGCGTGAATGCATTTGTTTTGAAAACGAGGTATCAATTAAGATACATATCTGCCTTTATGAAAGGAACATTCGTTTATCCTTTCCTGCTGCGTCTGATCAACGCACTGGAAATAATATAGCGTTGTCCCTGCAGATAAACTCACATTCATGAGAACCATATGTAATTTTATTGGGCATTGATCACTGATCGGTGCTGGATAAAGTACGCTCCAGTGTTAATGGGAGATCATACTCCCCTTTCTTGTACATGTGTTTGATTGGCTGACTATGTTATGTTGATGTATTGAGGAAGCGATTGGCTGTTAGGGCCACAACTTCCTGTTTGTTTGTTACTTCCTGTGATGTCACTGTACATGGTGGTTGGGTGTCGGGCCCGCCCCTTCATGTTGTTATCCCTTTGTTGCTAGATAAATAAATGGAGTGAGTGAACAGAGGCAGAGGGACTTGAACACAGAATATATACATGTGGAGATCAAACCATTGTGCACCATACAATCAATGACAGATCATAGCGCACCTGTCACAACTCCCCTTACCCTCTGTTAAGAGGAGGCGTATGTCACTATAATTGGTAGTAACGGCTAGTTAGGCCTTAACCCCAGGCGTCACACCCAGACTTTACGGAGTGTTAGGGGTTACAGCATCATCTGCCGTGATACACAATTAAAGTGTTTTAACCTCTTGCCGTCCCCCCGTAGTAAAAAAACGGACGGACGGCACTTCAGCATTGGCGGGTTGCGCCGCCGCCGTTTTTTTTGCCCCCTCCACCTGACTCCTCACCTTCAATCCCGGGATCCGCTGCCCCATCTGCGGCCCAGGACCGGCTCGGGATGGCGTCAGGAGGAAGAGGAAGGGAGATCAGCTCCTTGCTGACCTCCCTCCGGGCTGTGAATGCGGAAGTGATGTGTATTACATCACTTCCGCATTCACCTGTCAGTCATCTGGCTGCTATAGCCAGAGAGAAGAAGCTGATAAGCAGATCTCTGCTTCATCAGCTTCTTTTGGGGTCCACAGGTGACATTAGGGGTCCTGGAGACCCCTAATGTCTCCATAAAGAGGACCTGTCAGTGTGCCTTTGCTATTTTATAGGGGGATTGTTATCCTCTATGTGAAAGCAATAACAATAAGTGCAAAAAAAATAAAAAAAAATAAAAGTAACACATAAAAAAGTAAAATAAAATAAAATAAAAGTCAGATATAAAAAAAGGGGAAAATCCCCCCCCCCAAAA